AAGTCCTTTGTCAATTCCCACACCAGCCAATGAGGCAGCAGGCAGAGGCCTCAGCCATCCACTGGACAGGCTGAGGGGACCGCTCTCTCCTTCCCATTCTACTGAGTTCTGCTGATCTGCCCTGACTTACCTCCTTCCCACATACTTGAACTTGTTAACTTGGTTTTTCTTTCCAATGAAAAAAGCAATGGTTTCAAAGAGGCATATGTTTACTGTTGAATGTTTGAAACATTTCATTTAAAAGTGTGGTGGATTCTCAGCTACTCACACATGTGAAAATGCTGTAGTTCCTCGTATGAAGACAAGGTTGTGTCTTCAAAGCTCAGCCAGTCTCACCCCATCAGGTCATGTGGACCACTGTCATAACCTCCGGACCATGAGAATGTGTCTGCATGTAGTCATGGAGGTACTAGAGCTCATTTAGGAAGGTAAAGTGAAGGCTTTAATTAATTAGCACCTGTGATAGATATGCTGAGAATGCCATGCCCCCAGGTCGGGCAGGGATGCAAAGAAGTACCTGCTAGAAAATGCCACAGCTTGACCTCCGTGATTCTCAGCAGCCAGGACTCCCCTCTCTGGAGCTGATTCGGGCCCTGACAATCTATTATTCATCAAGGCTTCCAGTAGGTATGTGCTGTGACGGCTTCTGTGTTTTCTTTATTTATGGAGCAGTGAGTCTTGCACACAGAAGCCAAGAATCACTCCTGAAAATACAACAGCTTCAATAAGAACTAATAGAAAAAAGAACTATGATCATTAATCCTGATATATCAACTTCATTGGATTAAGAAATCCATAACAGATTCATAGTAGAGCATGCTTTTGGTTGTGTCTGGGTAGGTCATGAAGGTGTGACCTTCAGTACTGTATCTGGTCCCTGTTCCATTCTTCTCTGGCACGGTTCCCTTGCTCTGCTTCCAGCCACCATGAACTGAGCAACCTGGTTCTACTACATCCTTCTGCTGTGAAGCTTCTGCCTGGGAACCAATTTGCCATGGACTGAACCCCCAGAAACCGTGGACCAGTTTAAACCCCTCCTCCTTTCAGCTGTGGGTGTCCGGTACTGTGTCCAGCAATGGGAAGGCTGACTGATACAACAACAAAATTCTGAGATGAAGATAGCAGCCACTTGCTCTCTCAGAGATTCATGATGTTCATTAGACAATGGTCAGCTCCGGTGGGGTCAGCCATGGGAGCAGGCTTGAGTGGAAGCCAAGAACACCAAGCATTTGCTCTCTTCCACCTGGTGGATTCAGGAAAACCAAATCCAGGTGGTTGCCAGCGTCCCTGGTTAGCTTCAGAATGCCCCTTGCTCCTGCTCAGGGGATCCCCAGCCATCACACAGAAGCTGGTGTTGATTTCAAGTCTCTTGCGCTGAAATAAAGACCTTTCCCCCCAAGAGCTGTGCTCATGAAGTGAAACACATATTTGGTACCTGCAGAAGTGAGTGGAGTGATCTTTGTGCAACATGATTCCTTGTAATGACCTGCTGTTAAGAGAGAAGTGTAGAGAACAGATCGACCTGGTTGGATTTGGTAAGATGGCGGAGAGGAGGCTTAGCGAGGAGATGTGGAAAGCCCGCAGCAGCCAGGGTGTGTTTGGCAGCTCTGGTGTAATTGGACACACCAATTACAGTTTGCCAGGCTGCGAAGTGCAGAGCTCAAATGTACAAAATGGGAAGAAACAAACACAACTGAAAGCACACAGAGGTGAAGAAGAGCCGCCCAGGGTCCCAACTGCGGACTTGTTACAGCCATGAGGCTGAAGCCGAGCTTACAGAATGACAGTAACTTAGCTGCTTTGACGTGGAATGAAAATACTAACCCTGTTATCGCTGTGGACTTGAAGTGTCTCCACAGCTGATGTGGAACAGTCACTACAATGCTGACATATTTCCTGTTTGTGTGTATAAAACTTGCATTACAGTTTTTTTTATAACTTTCTTAAAACCATAATGAAATCTTTTCAGAGAAAACACTTGGTCTAAAGCAATCCAAGGCTGCTTCTCCAAATGAAAGTAAACAAAAGTATCACGGTACCAGCGGGTCTGAGGGCTGCATCCACGTGCCATGGTCACTGGGGTCTGGGTGCCCGACTGTTTCTCACCCCGCAATGCCTCAGTCTCACTCTCCTTCCAGGCCCCGCCGCCCAAATTAGCCTCAGGACTTCCAAAGGAGGCCGGTACCTTCCACGTTATTGGGGAACAGACTCCTTTTGAGAACGTCAGGTTGGTTTTGCTCAGAAGGAAAAATCAGGACCAGAAAGGATCACAGAGAACTGAGGCAGTTTCAGAATGTCTGTGAGTCTCCTACAGCGTGGAGCCCTGTTCTTCTTGGCTTCATCTTCCGTTTCTTTATACTCAGGTCCAGATTGTGAAATAGCTGAGTCATGGAAAACATGTTAACAGAGGCTTTGCCGTGTAGGGAAAACACTTGATTTAAACATCAAATTTTACTATTCATTCATCTTGGTACCAGAGTTGGAACCCAGGGCCTTCACACGGAGCCCCCACCTCTTTTGAGACGGTATCTTGCTAAGTTGCTAAGGTGCTGGCTGGGCTGAAACTTTCAGTCCTTGTGCCTCAGTGTCCCAGAGTGTTGGGATTACAGATGTGTGCCACCACACCCAGCTTAAATGCTGGATTTTTAAAATGCTGGAAAAAGTGCATATTATGTCCCCTCAGCCCTGTTAAAATGTATGTATACCCATGCAGACATGCATAGAAACACACGTGGAGAAAACTCAAGAAGCCAGTGCACAGAAGTATTAGCAGTGGCTGTCGTTGGCAAGAGGGATTCTACACGGGTTTCCTCTGCTCCTGTGTTACTGTCTGTGGAACTCAGGTCCTCATGCTGCACCTGGGACCCATCCCTTCTGGCCACTTCAGGCATTTCTCAGGCACCACCTCACCCCTCAACCCATGTGGCTATAGGGGTGATGGGGAGGATGGGACAGAGATCTGGAAGTCAAAGGCTACACTGGGCATCTTCACAAACCTCAGGCTCCAGAAGGACGCCAGCATCACTCCCCTGGCCCTGCTCAGGAGGGCTGTGGATCTGGGGCCAGGAGGTGCCTGCTCTGGGCAGCTCCCAGCTTTGCTGTCCCTGAGCATCACCCTCCCTGCCATAACCGGCCCTGGAAACTTGGTCTGGAGGAAGCTGCTCCCTGGTCTGTGCTCACAGCCCAGCCCTGTGGGAGTGACCCTGCTCCTTTCTTGCGGTGCTGTTTACCCAGCTTCCCAGGTGGGCCCCAAGCCTTCCAAGGGGTCTCCAGCTTGGGGAAAATTCTCCCCACCTTCTGTTGCAGCCCAGAGGGGGTGGAGCCAAAAGATAAGTGGAGCTGAAAATCAAGTCTCCTCGGAGCCCACCTGACCAACTGCTGGAGGGACCCGAAGGCCTCCAGCCAAGGTGCCCAAGCCTCCTCCCAGTGCATCTGCAGATGGGCCGGTGCAGAGCCTGCTGAGGGCTGTGTGGATGTATCTAGGCTCACTGGAGCCCCAACAGGGATGTACTTGGGCTGCCATCGACCCGCGTGCATCCCACTCTCCGTCACCCACCAGCACAGCTGCTGACAAGGAACCAGAAAAGAAACAGAAACGTGATTTTGAGGAAAAACATTGTCACCATCATCATCTGGAAATCTACTGACAGATGCCAGACGCTGTGCAAATCCTGCTGGAAGAGGAATTGTCCGCCATGAAACGGCCCTGCAAAACAGGTCAGAGCCACGTTGAATAAAACCTCTCAAAGCCTGTAGATCCAGCTGCTAGTTGCTAGGAACAGTTGAGGGCAGAGGGGCACGTTAAAATCACCGCCGAGATGCACTTCTCAGAATCCTGCAATCGGAAGAAAATCAGGGAAGGCTCGGAACTGAACCTATCCAGCTTCTGTCCCAAAGGAACCCAATAGAAAAGTCAAGATTAAGATTAAAGAATTATCTGTAGACTGAAAGAGAGGGAAAACCTATGGACCAGTTGTGAAGCGTGGGTTTTATTTGGCTTTTGCTTTAACAAGCAGATCAAATAAAAATCTTCATAACACTATTGAGAATTGGAACACTGGACTCCCACTAATGTAAAAGAAATTACCCCTGATTTTTTTGCCATCATGATGATATTACAGTCATGGTTTTTTAAAATAACAGATTTCTTCTTACCCACTTACGTCTGAAATGCACTTCCAAGCGCTGACATGAGTGAGACCGTAAAGTGACAGTTATTGAAGTGGGGTGGGCAGGAATGGAAAGGCCCCTTACTGTGTGTATGTTGGAAGTCTTTTACTCTTAGGAAAGTTCGAGACAGAAAGGCCACACAGCCACACTGCTCCGGAGTGGGTTATTTCCAAGCGTAGCGGAAGCAAAGCCAGCGAGGGCAAAGAACAGCAGGACCCCAAGCAAGGCGGGGAGAAGGGAGTGGGGTTGGGCTCAGGACAGAGTTCTGGGCAGAAACAAATGCTTCACTGAAGATAACTCCGTCTGGACAGTACCTGGCAAACTACTGTGCCCCAGCCCCTATGATATGGCCTCTTCTCGAGCCAGGAGGCTGTCCCTCTCTTACTGCGGCCGCTTTTCCCTGTATGGTCACTTGCATCAGTTTCTGTACTTTTCAGTTTCTAAAAATATTTTTAGTACCTGTTTGCAGTACAGAATGATAGTGATGCGGTGGGGAGTTGCACCCATACGTGACACAACTTCATTCTTTTTACGTCCCCTCCTCTTCATCCATCTCTTGGTCTCCTTCCCGTTTGCAAAAGATCTATCCCTGTTTCCTGTCATCTACCTTTTATTTTGTCCTTTCATTTATTTATACTTGGAGTTTCTCATAAGGGAAGAATCGTGTGATATTTAAGCTTGCGTGTGTGATTATTTCACTTTGTGGTCTCCAGGTACATCCGTGTTCCTACAGATGACTCCAGCTTATCCTTCTCTGTGCAGAGCAGTGCTCCGCTGCATATTTAAAAGAAAACAGGAAGCTTCACAGGTTTGTGCTTTGCCCCCTGCAGCTGGTCTGTGGGGAACTGGAGCACCTGCAGCCGGACGTGTGGCGGGGGCACTCAGAGCCGGCCCGTGCGGTGCACCCGCCGGGCACACTACCACTCGGAGCCCGTGGCAGCCAGCCTGTGTCCACAGCCTGCACCCTCCGGCCGGCAGGCCTGCAACCCTCAGCGCTGCCCGCCTGCGTGGAGCGCAGGGCCCTGGGCAGAGGTAAGCAGGCAGCCGCTGAGCCGGGCAGGGCCTGGGCGCCCCCCTGCTGGCACAGAGGGCCTGAGCACTCTCTCTTGTGTGCAGTGCTCCCAGACCTGTGGCAAGGGCTGGAGGAAGAGGAGCCTGGCCTGCAAGAGCACCGACCCCTCAGCCCGCGCCCAGCTGCTGCCGGAAGCCATGTGCGAGGCGGAGCCCAAGCCTAGAACACACGAAGCCTGCCTCCTCCAGCGCTGCCACAAACACAGGAAGCTGCAGTGGTTGGTGTCCGCCTGGTCCCAGGTGGGTCATCTCGGGGCCAGTTCTTGGGGCCCTGCTTCCTGCCCCTCCCCCATCTGCCTTCTCGCAACACCTGAGCTCTTGCCCTGCCCCACCGGCTTCACCCACCCCTCTGAACTGCTGCCAAGCGGCTGCATCTTCCCCAGAGGCTCCCACGCTGTCCCCTCACAGTCTCACGGAGGACGAGAGGGTGGGCAGCATGTGAGTGTGAGGGTGGGGTCCTGGGACATTCCTCCCTGCAGAACAGCAAGCAGCATTGCCAGGCAGCAGGCATCCGGCACAGAGGAGAAAAAGCAGTGTGCTCGTTCCAAGACCACTTTCACCGGCAGCCTGGGCACCTGCAGAAGCCTGCTGTGCTGCCCATTGGAATCCGGGCCTCAGGCTGCGTGGGCATTGCCCTAGGCTGCCAGCCTTGCCACAGCGAAACCTGGGGTGGAAGCTTGAGTTTGGAGAGGTGACGGTTCCCTGAGTAGATGTCGCCCAAGACAGCCCAGAAGGACCCCAGACCTCAGGACCGCAGCAGCACACAGCACCCGGCCAGGGGTGCCCCGTGTGCACGGAGCGTCCAGGTCTCCGCATCCCCAGGCGGTACCTCTGCATGTCACACCAGTCCTGCAGGAAGGCCCCGCTGTCCTTGTCCCACGCCTCTTGGGCAGAACTCAGGCTCATTAAGCTCTGCGCTTCCCACCCCGAAACAAAGCCTCGCTAGGGTGCAGTGGGCCCACAGGGCAGTTCATCCAGTTGAGACACTGTTTGCCACTTAGAAATAAAAACACTGTTACTCGCCAAAGTCAGCTTGCCTTTGCTGAGGAAAAATGCCAGCCTTCTGTCGCCTGGTGCACAGGCACGGGTGTCTCCGAGGACCACACAGCGCTGTCATCAGCAAAGACCTATCTGCCACGCAGATCCTGGAGCCGAGTATGTAAAAAGCAAGTGCACTGTGCAGCCTGCAGGCCGTGTCCAGGAGAAAGCCTTCCCCCTAAAGCGTAGCACGCATACACAAACACACAACACGTGTGCGCGCACACCAGGGCTTCTCTCTGAGGCTTGGCCGGGCAAGCAGCCCCGTATCCACCAGTCGGTCTCTGTGTCAGCATCAGGCACCAGCAGCACACCTGGGAAGCCAGGAGAGGGCAGGTGAAGTCAGAGGGGGCAGGTGCCGCTGTCTCGGCCCTCCACTTAGGTAGCCTGCAGGCCATCCGCTGAGGGATCTTGGGTGACTGAGTTCCCGCCACTGCCCCTAGGTACAAGGGCCAACCCTATCCCTAGACCTCCTGCAGCAGCACACAGCTCTCATGTGTTACCCTGCAGGACGGACAGCTGCAGCCTGATTGCCCCGGGCCCGCCCTGCTCCCACGGGGCCCAGCCTTGGGGCAGCTCCGGCAGGCGCACAGCTGTTGTGCCTCCTCCTGTTGTGTCTTCTCACTTGTCCCAGTCTCGGCCCTCAAGCCCCAACCCCCCCAGCACACATCTATGTGTGCTCCCTTCTTCAGGATGGCTCTCAGACTTCAGGGCAGACCTGTGAGCCCAGGGCCGCCTCTGCCCGTCTCTGCTTTCCGGGCCGCGTCACGCCCGCAGCTGTGTGGACAAATCCACTCAGCGATGTTCACTGTGTCCTTGTGTGGGAGGTGGCTCGGGTTCTCAGTCAGGGCGAGCCAGGTTAACTCCACGGCTGTGGAGTTGCTCCCTTCATAGCTCTGACTGCCCTGCCCCGCTTAGGCCCATGATGCTGTGCGGCTCTGACTCCTGGCCTCCTTCCTTTGATCACGTTGCTAAGCTGCCTTTAAACAGCTGAGCCCATGGGTCACCGTGGGCTTTACCTAACAGTCCAAGCTGCTGCTTTAGATGGGCTGCGCCCTGGCTGTGCAGAAGCAACATCCCTCCTCCTCTTACTTCCAGTGCTCCGTCACGTGCGGAAGGGGTGTCCAGAAAAGATTCCTAAAGTGTGCCGAGAAATACGTTTCCGGGAAGTACCGTGAGCTGGCCTCCAAGAAGTGCTCGCATTTGCTGCAGCCCGACCTGGAGCTGGAACGCACCTGCGCCCCGTTCCCATGCGCCCTGCGTCCCTTGCACGCTGCCACAGGCCCCCCAGGGAGCAGCTGGTTTGCCTCTCCCTGGTCTCAGGTAAGAGCCCCGTTTCCTGCAAGGCCAGCGCCTGGTTTGCATGGGCCTGTGCAGGTGAGCACTCCCTCCGCAGGGCACCCAGTGTGGCTGTGGCCGTCTGAGGGCAGGCTTCACACCTTACTGAGTCTCACAGTGCACACGCGCGTGTTGCGACGCTTTTCATCCCACTAAGTGTCAGAAGTGTAAGGCTTTCAGTAAAAGCTGGGCAGAGTTCCTCAGAGACGGGTGTGAAGGGGAGGAAACAGGAGGCCCGGGACATACTGGAGAATGCCAGTTCCTAGGTTAGCCACGAGGCTCTGAAAGGCAAAAGGACGCTATCACCCCCAGAGCTGCTGAGTTCTGCCTGGGCCCAGGGAGCCTCTGAGCCACGCCCTGGGCCTTGCTCGTCCCCACCTCCTTCCACACACCCTCCGCCCTGGCCCTGGGGGTTTCTGCAGTGAGCATCCATACCCACAGTCCATACCCACAGTCTGTACCCGCAGTCCGTACCCACAGTCCGTACCCACAGTCCTCCTGTTGTGTCTTCTCACTTGTCCCAGTCTCGGCCCTCAAGCCGGAAGCCCCGCCCCCGTTCTGTGGCCATGTCCTCTCCGCCTGCTGCTGTCCTGCGGTCAGGTCAGGAGGACTGAGACCTGGAGCCCCGGGCCTGCTCTTGACGCCCGTCTGTGCCCTTCTCGGGGGCTCGTCCGTTGGTGGGAGACGGGGCCTCTCCAGCACACAGCCACCTGTGCCTGGGGCCCGGGCCCGTGTGATTCCATCCTTTCTTAGAGGTGAGGAAAGCAGAAGGAGACAGAGAGGAGGGAGATGGGAGGCCGATCTTTGTGCCCCTCTCCCTGGAGGGCTCCCCCAGGGCCCAGCTCTGTACCACACGGCGAGCACAGGAGTCGCACGCAGACCGGAGCCCGACAGCAGCACCTAGCCTGGGGGCTGCGCTCAGCAGACTCGCAGCCCCTAGCAGCCCCTGGAGGGAGGAACCCTCATCAGAACCGCTGCACACGAGGAAACGGAGGCACAGGGTGTGCTTCTCCCAGGCGGTGAGGGGCAGAAGCGAGCGCTCCACAGGGCCCACATGCATCGTGTGTTTGATGAGAATAATCGCTGTGGCCAGGGCCCCGCCCTGGCAGGCCCCTGCGCTTGCCCCTGGCAGGCCCCTGCGCTTGCCCCTGGCAGGCCCCTGCGCTTGCCCCAGCGTCCTGGCCCCTGTTCTGTGGGTGAGGTTAGCACAGCTGACACCAAGCTCGAGCCTCCATGACACGGCCCAGGCACCGTCCAGTGCTTTGGTTTCAGCTCCCGCAGGCACCCTGGGCCTGGGTTTCGGAGCCTTGTCAGGTGCCATTTGCTCCAACTCACAGTGAATCCTGGGTTTATCAGTGCATGGGACATTAGGCCACTGACTCACCCTGCAGGGACTTTCCTGTATCCACAAGGCCCACGGAGAGCCTTGATTCCGGGGACTGACCCTGTAGTCCTCACTGTCAGTCTCTAAGGACCTTTCCCAAGGGGTCTGCTGGGTGGCTGGCGTCCTAGGAAGGACCCAGTCAGCAGAGGAGCCAGGGCCTGCACGCCCTGTCCCCCGCCTGGCACCACCCAGGAGGGCCCTGCCTGACCGAGCGTCCACCTTCAGCATCTGTCCCTTCCTTCCCTCCCCTCGCCAGCCTCTCCTGGAGCCCACATGCAGCTCTGACCTCTCAGCATTAGCCACCCATCCCAGGGGCAGGGGCGTCCCCCCACCCAGACTCTTGCTGGACAGAGGGTGGAGAGACAGGGAAAGGGCTCCTACCTAGAGATGCTTCCCCTGCCAGAAACGTACCAGTGGGCCCGGAGCCCACAAGGCCACCGCGGACCAAGGCCCAAAGGTGACCGCTCGTGACCATCCGGCCTCATGCTCACCCACGGCTTCTTTGTCACCAGGACTATGCTGAGGGTCTTAGCTGTGTGTTCCGTGTGGTTACAGACGAGGGATGATGGAAATACACGATGAATGTTTAAATTTAAAAGCCGGGAGTCCTCATCCAGAGCCTCCCTTGCCTTCAGACAGGCTCAGCTCGTTGTCCTCACCTCTGTCTGCAGCCGTGCGGAGTGCTCTTCCCCGAGTGTCTTCACAAAGTGCAGTCACAACAGCATGGATGCTGTGCTGAGTGTCATCCAACAGAAAAGCAGGCTCGTAACAAACAGCACCACACTGCGTCCTCATCCTCCTCGCTCGCTGGTGCTCACACCGTGTGACTTCTGGCTCTTTCCCAAAGTCAAAATGACCATGAAAAGTAAATGCTTTGAACAGATTCAAGACATCTAGGCAGCCATGACAGTGTAACTAAAGACACTCAGGAAAGGGGACTGCAGAGCTGCTGCAGAAAGTGGCAAAGCACGGTGGGATTAGTTTGTTCAAAGCAAGGGGAAGATTTTGAGGGGGACTCATAGTGATGTGTGTTTTACTGTCTTAAATTTAAACACACACTGTATTTTCAGATCACCCCTCGTATGTATACCTGCACGCATCTGCATGCACACACATGTTCATACTTACATGTACTGTATTACACAGACCACAGTACCTAACCCATGTTGAGGGAGTACTTACCTGATGGGCGAATGTCAAGGGGAAAATTCAGTTAGTGGGTGCAAGCACCTCCTCACAGTCTTATTTAGAGAACTTGCCTCTCATGGGCAAAGTGCGCCCTGGCCTCGGGCTTCCTTGGCATCATCTGTCCGAGTTGTGTGCTCTGCCAAGAGCCCAGGCTCAGTGAGTGCCTCATCTCAATAGCCAAAGGCCACGCTAGCTCTCCAGCCCCCTGCATCCCCCTGCTTCCCAGGACTGAGTCGGACACAAACATGCCCAGCACACAAGGCTGGCTTACTGCGGGCTGGAGAGTGCTGAGTGGGGTGGGGTGGCCAGGCTCTGACCCCGAAAGTGAGCTGGAGTGGTCAGGTGAGGGACAGAGCTCCCAGAAACACTGACTAGTAACCAGAGAGGATGGTCAGGAGTGGCCTGAAGTTCCCATGTCCCCCCAGATCCTTGCACACTCCTAGGCGAGGCTCTGGGGACGTGACTAGACCATGTGACACTTAATGAGGGGATTACTTCCCTGATGGGTTTATAGCAATGACGTTACAGGCATGGCCTGGATGGAAGAGGTGGCTTGCCAGGGATGGGGCGGGCTGGAAGAGGCGGTTGCCTGGGGGCGTGGCCTGGATGGAAGAGGCACTCGCTGGGGCCGTGGCCCGGAAGGTCCACTCCCTCCCCAGCTTCCCCCTTGATCTCTGCTTCCTGCCCCAGGCCATGAGCTGTTTCTCCTCTCCCCTGCCCCTCTGCCTTGGAGCCAGCTGACTGGACTGAAACCTCTACAAACTAACCTCCCCTACCTTAAGTCATGGGTGTCGGATACTGTGTCTCAGCAACAAGAAAGTGATTAAGACACCTTGTCGGTCATGTGGCTGCGTCCGCAGCCCACAGACTGTAGTAACTCATTTGATGTGGGTGAGTTCAAATGAAAAAGAGTCGCGAAGTCAGGTCAGGTGAACTAATACCAGGTGTTTTTTGAGCGTTTCTTGTTTTAAATAGACAAAAGGTGTCAGCAGCTGCACACGTTCACAGGTGCCCTCGCCTGCTTCCTCCTGGAACTGCAAGGCAGGTGCAAAGGTGCAACAAGCTCAGCGGAGCTATTTCTGCAGGAAGACCCTGCTTCTCTCCCATGAGCAGAGGGCCGGAGTTGGGGAGGAAACTGAGGTTCATCTGTGAATCCCAGCCGGCGCTCATGCTCAGTGCCAAGGCTGCAGGCACACTTAGAAAGAGAAGACCAAGCTTTATCCATGTGTAACCCAACCCTAAACCTGAAGTCTATCTTCAGTAGCCTATGCTCGTCTGAAACACCCAGTCATTTTGTCCACTACGTCGTTTTGTCCTAGGCTAGCTGAAGCTTTCATTCCCTACAGTGTGAGACTGTAAACTTCTCTGGAGGGGCAGCAGCTCGCTGGGCTGTTCGCCATGAGGGCGGTATCCCCACGCCTGCCCCAGACTGTGGGAAGCTGGGGGTGGTGATGAATGGCCAGTGCCTGGCTGGACTTTGCCGGTGGACAGGTTTATTCTTCTAACAGTTGAAGGTCATTGTTCCTGTGATTTGTTCTGCAGGATGTCTGCTGAGTTGAGTGGCTTGGTCGCTCCATGGTGTGAGCTGACTTAAATCATTTCGATCGTGTGGGCTTTATAGCAGGTGGTTCCCACGCTATGTGATCCAAGGATGGATTTAGTACCATCACCTGTTGGACTCTTGGTCTCCCTTCCCCCTGACAGGGATGTGTGTCTGTTCTGGAGCTGCTCACCAGGACAATACAAAGTTAGGGTAAAACCCTCAGGCCATCAGAGGCAGGAAGCCACATCACAGACGACTCACTTGGCTTTTCACTGTGGCAGCTTAGATGCCAGTGCTGTACTGAAAGCACACGCACACACACACATGCACAGGCACACATGGGCACACACATTCTTGCCCTACACCTTTACATGCTACTGCCTGCACTAATAATTGCTGTCATCATCTTATGCCACCATTGATGGATAAGGCCACCCACTCCTGCTTGAAGTCAAGGGAGTTAGTGTTTGTAACTGGTTGAAGAGGGACAAGAGTTGGCAGCCCCATTCATCTCTCATCTTGAAGCAGATGTTGCCCAAGACCACAGAGGTGTGTGCCGTCCCTCTGAACTGAGTGGACATCTGACCTCTGGGACAGTGGGAAGGTTATCATGGGCACACATACCAAGGCCACAAGAGGATGATTGTTAAAGGGGAAACTTAACGGGGCCTCTTGGAAGAGCGCTTCTGGTGGGAAATGGAAGTGGGGAGCCTTTGTCCTCAGGACTAGCGTGCACTGTCTTCATTGTCCTCTGTGTGTCTCTGATGAACTCTGCCTTGCAAGAAAATTTGGAGGTTGACAGCCGTCACTCCCCAAGGGGAAGGATGTCCCCATGGTTCACCAGCCAGCACAGCCATCATTCCCCAGGGAGTCCATCCTGGGAGGAGAGGCTGACGTTGGATCCCTGCGGGCACTGCAGACCTGCTGTGGCCAGAAGAAGGAGGCTACAGGGTGCTCTGAGAGCTAGGACAGGATCAGGTTGAGGAGCAGTCCATCTAGACCAGGGACGAGAGTGTCTACAAAGGCCACCTTTGCGGGCCAGCTTCGGTCTCAGTGTTTAGACCTAAGCCACGCTGACTGTGTGCACCATTCCTGCTGGAATTACAGACAGCGGACATCTGTTCTGAAAACTACAGTAGAAAAGGAAAATGGCAAAGGGTGTTAAGCCATGTGGTTCTGAAAATCTGGTGAGGTGATTCTCTGTGTGACCCTGCACTTAGCATCAAGGATTTCAAGCTCCCCCCACACCTGCCCCAGCTTGGGCACGTGGCCTGGGGTCAGCAGCAGGTGGCTAGCGCAGTCAAATGAGAGGGCTGGGGGCCTGGAGGTGGAGCCAGTGCCAAGGAGTCTGCGGAGCTGGCTGCAGCAGGTGGCACTGCAGGAGGTGGGGTGGCCAGGGACAGGTCACTGCGGACGTGGGGACAGCCCAGAGATCAGTCTGTCCAGAAGAAGTCTCAGACTGCATCCCAGGAAGGTGGAAGAAGAAGCCAGAAGCTTGGACTTCCAAGCTCCAGACTCTTTGCTGGGAGCACTATTTTTCCCAACCTACTCTTGTCCTAGGCGCTGCCCACCAGACTTGCACAGTTGCAGCTTCCTTTCCCCTTTCTGGCGTCCTGGCCGCCCGGGGCTCCAGTCTGGGTCCGCCTGGCTGTCTAGGGCCCCAGGTGCTTCTTAGCATCAGCCGGTTGGGAAACCGCAGATCCCACAGAAAGTCTGGAATGTGAGTTCTAAACACCAAGCTGAGTCTCACGCCATCCTGCCTGTGCTATTGAGGAACAGCTAGCTCTTTTTTTCCCTTTTAGAAAGAGAAGTGAATAACTCATTTTCAGGTTTCATCTTTTCCTTCCATCTGTTTGTCTACAACTATTTTTTATTGGTTCAGAATAGTCTCAAAGTTTAGGGCTGAATATCTTAATTCTTCCAGTATCCTTGAAGAAATGCAAACCTTGAGAAATTCAGAAGTTGTTTTTCCCACAAATATTTCTTTCCATGGGGAATTTTCAAACTGTCTAGAGCAACACTTTTCAGTCCTCCTCCCCCCGTATCTGAGTCATGAGCCGGTGCAGACTCTGAGGCAGCAGCGAGGTGGGAGAGGGGAGCGCAGGGACCACACTCTGAGTGGTGAGGACCAAGTCACTCGCATTTAGCACTGAGTATCTAGTGCTTAGATCTACAGTGCTGTGCAGTAAAACCTCGGTTCATGAACACCTCTGTTCCGAAACTATTTTGGTTTCCAGACAGAAGCATTTGGCAAACTTTGCTATTCATGAACTCCACATCAGGTGGTGAACAGGACCATGGCCACCTGCCCCAGAATCCGGCCATGAACTCAGTTCATGAGCTGAGGCACCACTGCACTGGGCCCAGGAAGGCTGAGTGATTACTATTCACTGAATAAGGGAGTCAGTGACAAAAAACATCAAGCCAAATGTTAATTATGTGGGGACAAAGGAAAAGCTCTGTTGAGAGTTTATGATTTCGGATGGTGGCAGATATCCTAGCTGCTGACCGTAAGAGAAATTGGCCTGGGACGTGGGAGCTTTGTGAGCACTGATGGGAATGCACCCAAGAGTGGCTGTCACCCCCGTACCCAAAGCGCCTAGTTCATCTGTGAGCCCAGAGCACACTTGGCATGCGGAGGGCAAAGATCAAGGGCCGGACTGTGGTTTTGTGAGCCGTCAGAGTGACAGATGTGACACACAGTGGGAAACACTGGCTGTGTCAGGTGGGCCCCGATCATTCCGAAATCAGGGTTCTGCCTGCCATGTTATTTTTCCTGGGTGCCATAGTCAGCTGTTGAAACCGGGTTATTGATGACTCCCGCAGTGACTGGTTTGGAAGTGACAGATCAGCTGCTCAGAAGCGCTCGTGACAGACATAGGCGCAGGGCCGGGGCATCCTCACGCACTCCTCACCTGCTCCCTGTTGCAGGGGACTTGGGGTCTGTGAAAGCTCCCACAGCAGCAGGTTCTGGGGTAAGGCCAGGCTCTTCTCTGCATCGCCCGTGGGTCCTCTTCCAAGCAGTGTGGGCTGTGGAGGGCTGGCTGCAGTCTCCCCCTGGGACCTGCCGCAGAGGGACCCTACACGCTGTCCTGTCACTGGGCAAGCAGCGTGCATCGTGTGCATCCCCAGCCTTGCACGGCATCATCCCTGCAGGAGAGGCGACGGTTTAGCTCCCGCCCACACACCAGGGCACTGGCACTGTGTCTGACCCATCTTCCTGCAGGTGCCCCTTGAGTGTGCTTACGCTCTTAGCCTGTAGCCTCGTTTGAGCACAATTTACATAATTTAGTCTAGACTTGTGCAGGTCTCTCTTAGGGTAGATTCATTGCCTTGGCTCAGGTTCCTCTGCCTCTGCAGTTGTTCCTGGTTCTTTGCCTGCAGTCCATCTGCAGTGGTTCCTGCTCATGTGTTGGGCTGTGTGCGCCTGCCAGGTAGTGAAATACAGCTCCTCTCCCCCGGGCTCACTCCTTCTCCTGGGCTGAGATGTGCAAGCCGAGACTGCAGGACCTGGGGCCTGGAACGGGCTTGGCTTCCGCAGCCTCTGCAGGGACTGGCTGTCCCAGGAGGGCCCTGAAGAGTGGCATGTAGGACATGTGACCAGCCACCCAGGTTCCTTTGCTCACCACTGACCAAACCAGAGGAAGCTGTTTACTTTGGTAAAAAGGAAAAGGGGTTCACTCAAGCCTGACTGAGGAGATGGAGGGGCCCATTTGCCTCCAATCTGCATTTTGTGCAGCGGGAACAGTTGGGGGGTGATGCAGTGTGATGGCAGACACATTCCAGCTTGTTCCCCTCCCTTCCTGGACTGGAACCCCTCTTTCCCTTGCCCAAGGGAGTGAACTTGGGCTTGAATGGCCGTGCCAGTGTCTACAGGCTCTGTCCATTCATCTAAACTGAGGAGAAATGGCGGTCACAGTTTAGGACCTGCACCCAAGGGAGTTTGGAGAAGTCGCTTGTATCTAAAGGAAAGACTTTAACTTTTCAAGCTCCATTCTATAGTGCCCATTACAAGGGCACTGCCTGAAGGCAGTGTTCACCCTTGTGAGGCTCAGAGTGTAACCCTGGCATCTGCATACACCTGCTCCCTGTGCCCAGAAGACTCCCCAAGAACACTCTAAACTTCTCGGACGCCTTCCCTTGGTCCATATCCGCTGTTACTGCAGAGTGTAATTGGCAGCCAGGATAGAGAGGGACAGCTTGAGGTGTCTGGGCAAGAGGGGCCCCTTGCAAAAGTTCCCAAGAGGAGACAGAGCTGAGACCAGGCCATAGTTCGAGGAGAACCTAGTGCAGGTTAAAAAGTACCTTTGCCCTGGTCCTGGATATAACATCAGCAAAGTTGTGCTATCAAAGACTTCAAATAGAAACAAAATCAGGAGGCTTTTCTTGCTTTTTATAATTCAGAAGAACGACTTGTAGCTAACTTTATTGTGCATAGAATCTAATCTTTTTCTGTGCTACCTATATTCTGAGGAGACGATACACCAATCCATAAGTATCAATTTTTTTAACTCGGTGTACTCACGTTTTAGCCTATGCACTCTGCCCCAGGGCCCAAGCTCAGGAACTGTCCTGGACATCTTCAGCATTAGATCGCAGCCGTTCTGAGCCAGTCCCGTCTCAACGCAGTGGCTCCCACCTGAGCCCCAGGAAGGCGACAGCCACATCACAAGCTGGTTCAGACTGCCCAGTAGGGACCCAGCCCAACCCCGCCCCATAGGCACCATCAGTGGGGTGTGTGGGGCCTGCTGCATCTACGTCTGGGCTGGGCATTACTACCCTGCCTTTGGTGACTCCCATCCCCGGAAGGAGCTATGGCCTGCCGTGCTGCGCCCTCTGGAGCGTGCTGATGGCGGGGCGCCGGCAGCCCGGTGACTGCTGTGTGCTCTCCTCCTGCAGTGCTCGGCCAGCTGCGGCGGTGGTGTGCAGAGGAGGACTGTACAGTGCCTGGCGGGGGCCCAGCCAGCTTCTGACTGCCCCCAACACCAGAAGCCCGAAGCCTCCCTGGCGTGCAACACCCACTTCTGCCCCATCGCAGAGAAGAAAGGTGAGCTTGGGGCCCCTGGGCTGGACCTGCGCCTTTGGGTGGGGGTGGAGAAGTGGATGCCGGCTGTCTGGGGAGCCCAAGAACGGGGGCCTCGAGTCTCCCATCCCCTTTGCTCCCCCCACCTCCTTCAGTTTTCCAATGACATAGTCACAAACAGACCCTGCCATCCTCATGCCTTCCCGGAAAGGACAGAGGCAGTTGTGACATGAATTTATCCTTGTAAAGCACATAATTTCCATCTTTTGCTGGTGCTGTTTGAGGCACTGACAGAAGAGAATGTGAACGAATGCATCTATTCCCACTGTATTGGACAAAAGCCTGCTGGGCGGGTGCTCTTAGCTCAAGAAAGTGCTAGTCTTGCAGGAAACTTCCAAGAAGGGTCTTGGGAAAGGAGTGAGTGCTACACCTCAGTTAGACCCACAGGGCTCTCCTCCTTCAGCAGCTTTGAAGCAGTGATGAGCCTGCTTTTGTTTGCCAAGCAGAGATACTAGAGAGCAGCATCTGCTACACTGCAGAGCGCCTGACTGACGTGGAGTGTGCTTGTTTTCAGGTACCTTCTGCAAAGACGCCTTCCACTGGTGCGGCCTGGTGCCACAGCATGCAATGTGCGGCCACAGGTTCTACGGCAAGCAGTGCTGCAGGGCTTGCTCCAAGTCCAACCTATGAGTCAGGTTAGAGTTCCACGGCAGAGAGGAGGCCACATGGGCTGGGAACATCGGCACAAAGGAGCTGTGCAGCATGCACTGGAGCTCACCCAGCAAAGATCAGAGCCGTGAGGGGAAAACTGTGCTAGGCTCTTTGGCCCAGAGTGTGTGTTTGTGCCTGGGGGAAGCAGATGCATGACTGTGGCCACACCAGCACACACTCTCTTGCCCTGTGGAAGCGTAGGTCGCCCCTGCTTGAATGTAGGGCAGGAGAGCCATACTGCAGAGTGCACACAGCCACACTCAGCCAGGATTGTGGTTCTGCTACACCAAGTCCAAAGGACAGCAGAAGTGGACTTGCTAAAAGCTAAATGTCTGGTGCTTTGTAAAAAGAAGGAAAAGCCACACAATTAGGAAAACGTGCAAAGTAGCTGCCACTAAGTAGGCCAGCCTCCTTCCCGGAAGCTTCAGAGGCCCCCGCCATCAGGGTGGGTGAGGTGAAGGGGTTGGGGAGCCCCGGGATGCTTTTCCAGGCTCAGCTACAAGAGCCGGGGTCCTTCTGGTTTAGGACTTCACATGCACAGCCTGGAAAGTGAGATCCCTGATGAGGTGCTTCCTTCCCTGTGGGCTCATGTGCCCGGGGAGACTTTTATAGTTAATGTTTTATCTGTCTCAGTTGCTTACCAGTGAGTGTTCCTATTTAAACCCACTCCCCGTGCTTTTCTGTCTTAAATAGTGAGTCAGAAGTTCAGGTTACACAACTGTCACCCAGAAAAAGTCGGGGCCACCAAGCGGCTGAAGGATCATAGCCTTCTGCCCTGGTTTTGCTGTTGCTGTGAGGAGGGGTTCTCAGTGCTTAATCTGTCCCATAACTGTGGTGGGGAGGGAGGCCAGCAGCCTCCACAGAGGGCCTCCCATCCCTCCCTGTCATCATGGGTGCTTATTTCTGGTCTCCCTGTCTGATGTGTGGCACCTTTGCAGACGGGCACCTGGATATTTATATTTGCTGAATTTTATAATAAATTTTATATTGTATGATGTGCTTCTGAGCAGCATGTTGACTCTTCCCAAGGTTTACTTCTACCACAGAGGGCTGGCACCAGACACTAGGGAATGAGTTTCAGAGAGGGAGAAAGAGGGCTCTGGAGTGTCACGGAAAGAGCTAGAACTATACTAGGACAAAGTGCCCCCCAGTGGGGAAGATGGGTGCAGGGAGGACAGCTGGGAACGGGTCGTGATGGCTTTGTGCCACATTCAGTGAAAAGGAAGCTATTCTGCTGGGTACACTGGCACACACCCGTGATCCCAGTACTCAGGTGGCTGACACCCGAAGATTGCCATGAGTTCAAGGCTGCCCTGAACTACCTAATGAGACCCTGAAGGAGGGAGGAAGGGAGGGAGAGAGGGAAGAGACAGAGGAAGGGAGGATGAGGGAGGGGGAAAGGGCAGGCTACCCTTGCTCCTGCAGTCCCTGCTGGTGTTAGGGTTCTCCAGGGAAGCAGAATCAGTAGGGCATGAGAGCGGAGGTAGGTATTTAAGGAACAACCTCCCAAGACCGTGAAGCCAGACATCTCTAGGAAGAAACTCAGTAAAGAGTTGATGCTGCTATCTTGGACCTGAATTCTATAGGTCAGCAGACAGGAAACTCATGAGTTCCCATGTTGCCCATGTGAGGCAGAATTGCTTCTTCTCAGGGAACCTCAGGCTTGCTTTCAGGGGTCTCATCTGATTAGACTGAGACCCACCTACCTTATGAAGAGGAACCTCCTTTGCCTAACATCCACTGATCAAATGTTTACACATCTACAAATTCCCTGCTCACCTCCAGCCTGATGTCTGACTGTCACGTAGCCTGGCCATGCTGACATGTGAAATTTAGTACAATGCCACTCCCCTGGATTAGATTCAACCATACGTAAGCAGGTCCCCACAGGAAGCCACTGCTGCTCCCAAGATGCAGGTGGACCCCTACACCACAGAACATCAGCTGCAGGAAGTGTAGCTCCATCTTAGTCACTTCCCTGTCACTGGGACACAATCTGACATCCACAAGGAGGGGAGGCTGCGCTTGGCTCACAGTTTCAGTCCCTGGAGGGCTGACCCCAAGGCAGGAGGGCACTGTGGAAGCACCTGGGTGGAGGAAAGCTGCTCACTTCATGGTGGCCCAGAAGTGGGGGGAGAAGGGAGGAGCCAGGCAGGAACAGCTGTACCCTCTAGGCCACATCCCAAGTGACCTGCCTCTAAGCAATGCCTACCTTTAAACAGTAGACTGAGCTATGGATTCATAAGTGGATGAATCCACTGGTGAGTACAGCACCCCATGATCCAATCTCCTTCCAAAATTCCCACCATCGAACACATGAGACTGTGGGGGGACAGTCTCGATCTGAACCCTAACAAGCTCTCGCACAATTAGCCTGGCTTGTAGATGGCCCTGGATCACCTGGGCTGCGCAGGGAGACAGCTTTGCCCAATTGATAAAACACCTACACAGTTGGCCCTGCAGTCACAACCAGGAAAAGAAACTGTAGGATTCTGGGAGCTGTGGGCAGCACATTCCAAAGCACACATTCACCGGTCTCTATGGTCCTATTGCTCCACAAAGAGACTAGTGCAGCTCCAAAGCTTCTGTCCAAAGACAGGACATTCAGGAAAGCATCCTTACTCTTTTCCTAACCCAAAGCAGGGGCCAGGACAGGGAATCTCCCTGTGTACAAACCAGAAACCACAACCAACTGGGAGGAATGCAGACACCTGCTTCCCCGGGGTCTGCGAAGGAGCCAGCGACAGTCGAGATGAGGTTCCACCCACAAAAACTGTTTGCTCCAACAAGGAGTCAGCAGACAGAGGCAAACCAGTGTTTCACAAGGGCAGCAGGGCCCAGAAGGGCCAGGCCACGAGGAGGGAGAGGTTTACTTCTGTTGGGAAGTCAGATGTAGATGAGAGAGGGGCAACCTTCAACCTGGCGCTTGAAGTGATGAAAAACCATGAGCACAAGGAGGAAGACAGATGGAGAGGCCACATCCTGTACTCTGGGAGGGACTGTGCCACCCCAGCCCAGCATCGGGCCAGCCTCTCTCCCCTGGCCATCACCCTCCACACCTTCCCCTCCAACGGGCTTCATGTCCTGGCTCAGGCAGTGCAGGCAGGACCAGAGCCTTCATCTACTGCCCATGGCCAATGCTGCCCATCAGACTGGCTGGGGGATCCATCTACTTGGCTGTGTTTAGCACTCACCATGTGCCCGGCACTGAGATGAGTACATTGGATGCAGAGGCCCACTGGCCCCTGTAGGTGTCCTTCAGATGGGGCTGCTACTTTGTCCCCTGGAGGAGGAGGAGCCTGGAGTACAGCAACCACCCAGCCAGGCCAGATGGGGAGCAGATGATCGGTGCCACGCCCCTGCCCCTCACTCCCACAGTCATTCACTCTCTTCCTTGGCTGTGTCCTGTGCTCCCCCTCACCCAGCCTGGACCTCTGCTTGCGCTGCCCTCCATCAGCCATGTAACCCCAGGAGCTTCTGGCCTCTCCAGGCTCCATGGACGTGCCTGTGTCCCCACTGCTTCCAGGGAGCTTCTCTGGGTCATGGGCTGGATCTGCCGACCGTTCCTGGCCCTGCTCTGCCCAGCCTGCAGTGCCTGGACACACTGGAATACAAAGCTTCCAGCTGCCTCAGGATGGATCCTGAAGTCCGAATGTGTGGATGATTCTGCATCCACTCAGCCTGGTGTGAAGTCTCTGAAATTCCCAGCATCACTGGGCTCACAGGGTCTGCTCTGCACCCCTCTCTTCCCAGGGCCTTTCACTCACTCGCAGTGGTGCACAGGCTCGGACTGCAGCCACTGGGAAGTAGCTCTCTGCTTATGGGACCTAAGGGCTTTGGTGACCTGTTCTCCAAGAGTGACAAAGGGCTGTGTCCGGAAAGTGCAGAGACATCTTTAAGCCCAGCCCAGCTCCCTGCTGATTTATGTGTAAGCACCTGGCTGCACTCGGGCTTTGAGACCCAGCCTTTGCCTGTGGCGGGGAAATGAGCTCTGTTGCCTTCAGAGGCCATCACAGAGCTGCAGAAAGCCTTGCACTCCTCTCCCTGGCCTCCCAAGAACCAACCTCACCGGTTGCTGCTCTGTGGAACCAGGGGCCGGGGCAGGGAGTCTCCCCGTGTATGCACCAGAAACCACAACTGTCTGGGAGGAATGCAGCCCCCAGGAATTCCAGGCTGGCGAGGGAGTCAGACAAAACAAAGCTGTGGCTGGCGAGGAGGAGCTGGAGGGGCCAGCACAGCCAGACAGCCCTGGGCAGGAGCCTGCCCCGCCCTGCCTCCTCCTTGTCTGCGGGCTGCCACCTCCTGCGCTTCACAAAACTCCCTCAGGTGACCGCGCTTTGCCCCCAGTTTAGCATAGCAACCGGGCAGGGAACATGGAAGAAAGCTTTGGAGGGTGAGGACACACCAAGCCCCCTGAAACTCCCTGCGTACCTTTCCCAGGATAAAGGCTCACCACACCCCAGCACTAGTCCCAAGGTGTTGCTCTCTCTGGTTCTAAACAGCAGGCAGAGACCCTAACCTTCCTGTCAGCCTGAAGCACACTGCCCTGGCTGCTGGGCTCCTGCGTCCTCCCGCCCACTTGCACTTCAGGGGGCCTTCCACCGGAGCCCCACATCAGTCCTCACCTGGAATGACCTTTGTATTCTAACAGGGCTGAAAACTCCAGCTCGTCCTGTAAAGACCCCCTCTCCAATGCTGGTCCCTTTGGGGGGCCTTCAGTTCTTCAGCCCCACGTTCTTCCGGCCCCCAGTGATGGTCCTTGGAAGCCCTGAGATGTTGGTTGGCAACTGCTTCTCCACCCTGGTTGTGCATTTCTTCAGGGATGGAGACTTTGCTTCTAGCCAAGCATGTAGTTGCTGGGATTAGTAGGAGTCTGGCATCTAGTGAGCCTCCGTGAGGACACATTTTTCCACTGCAGTTAGAGAGGACCGCATGGGAATAGAGGAGCCCACAAGGGAAAGCCGAAGGAGTGGGAATGCACTAAGAGACCGAGGCAGGGAAATAAGCGCAGACTGGGTTTGGGCCGCTGGGGTCAGACCAGGCACTCTTGGTAATGCTGCACCTGCTCCGCAGACTCAGTCTGAAGGGGTGCATGAGAACCAGGGCTTCACATCATCTGAACTGGAAAGAGTCTTAGAGATGCTGTAGCCCAGACCCTGGCTTGACAGAGAAGGATCCTGAAGCCCCAGGAAGACCAGCACTTTCACCAAGATGTCACAGCTCCCCGAAAGCCCTTACTCAGCACTTAGATTTGTCTCCCAGCTCTAAGTCTCAGAAAGGAAAGCAGCTTGCTGTCCTTTAGAGGACAAGGAAGAGTGAAGACGGGGTACGTCAAGAAACTGAAACCGAAGCCTGCGTGCAAAGGAGCCCCACAGTGTTCCGTTCAGGTTCCCTTTGTGTCTGCCAGAACTCAGATCAGCCGATCCCTGTGTGAGCTGAGACAGCAGGGTGTCAGGTCTCAGCCTGAAAATGCTTCTCAGTTATCTCAAGCGCATTTCCCTCCTCTACCAACTTGTCATGAACTCACGGCCGAAAAGCGAAAGCAGCCTGTGCTGTCCAGGAGTACTCGTATCCATAAGGACTCAAAGAGCATTGCAGTGGACCCTAATTGTTTTCTGCAGAATTCTAGAACTGATTATCACCTAGCCCACGCTCAGGGCTACAGAATTCATTCACCAGCCCCTGTTCTCCCTTGTAGAAGATTCTGCTCTTCAAAGGGTAACTTCCATGAGGAGGGGTAGAGCGTAATGGCAGCCTTTCAGCAGTCGTAAATCCTCTCACACGTGGAAAACTGCTTCTTTTGGGCAGAAGCAGCCTGAACATGTGGCCATGCAGTGGGGAAGCCAATACAGAAGGGTCATCGGGGATAGATGACCACCAGGTCAGGGGGTCACCTAGCCACGCCCATCTAGCCGTGATCGCTTCTGTTTGTGTGATGCTTAGCATAAAGTGTTAACCCGGCTGTGCCAAGGGCTACCAGATTGCTACCAAACGG